CTACAACACCTGATGCTAACCCAACCTCAACTATGGAGAGCCCAGAAGTGACTGAAAATCATCACATGCCAAGAACAATTTTCACTTCTGCTTTAATCTTCATTCCTTTTGCCGTGTTTTGTTTGTGTTGCTGGCTTATGCTATGTAAGGATAATGAAAACAAAGATGAAATGCAAGATAATGAAGATGGAAAGGAAGAAGAAGAAGACATGAGTGAAATGTGAGAGGAAGGACATTATTCATAATTTCATTAAAAAGAGTTGAATTTTATAAACAGAATATCAGCACATGTCTCATCATTTAGACTAAAACTAAGTGATAATTGCTGCCTTGTTAACGAACATTCAACATTGCAACATTGGATTCTCTCCTTTTGAACTTCATTTTTAAAAAAGTATTGTTTGCATAGTTGAGTTGCATGGTGCCCAAGTGGGCCTCTGATGAGGTTTGAAAGGACCAGGTATGAAAAAGGTGTGGGGGGCACAGGTTTCAATTCTGTTTCCCCCCCCCATGCCCACCGGAAAGGAGAGCGAGATGTCCACTCCTTGATGTCAAAGTGCATCAGCACCTGGGATTGGGCATGACCTTTGGTGATGTCTTAGAGACCCCGATGCAGGGAAGAGTGTTCCAGGGCATTACCTGAGGGCTTTCTGTCACCCTGAGACATTGGCTTTATTCTCCAGGGCTGAGAAAACCCTTCCAAGGTGTATCAAAGTTCTTCTTAGTGGGTCCACAGACTCAGGAACATGCTGCAAAGATTGGCCAAGAGAATTGTCCAACCAACTTCGCCTTTGATTCTCTGACAAGCTAGTTGACGTTCCTGGTGGCTTAGATGAGCTGGCTGTCATGTCTCTTGTGTACATCTGTGGTTCACCACACAGGCCCAGTCCTGACACATGCACTCCAAGGTCAGACTACACAGCCTATGATGTTTCCTGTGTCCAAGGCCTGAGTCCAGTTGTCCAGTCAGGGAGTTCCCCTCTCCTAGTGGGATCTCCGACTTGACTCTTATGTGTGCTAGCCAGTGCAGGGTCGGTAGGGTCTGTCATCTGCACCAAGCAACCTACATACCAGTGGATGCAGTTTGCTCAGTTCTGCCTCAACCCATCCCTCACACGGACCAATGGGTGCTGCAGCCCAGCGCAGCCAGCCCACCACAGATCCAGTCCTCATGCATACCAGCAGATGCTGTGGTCTAGATGGGGTGACCCCTAGGAACTCCTCCAGACCTGCCGCATCCCTGGCTTTTGCACATGGCAGCCTCTACTGCAGCCTAGAGTGGCCCAGCACACATCCCATGCCATTTTCGTGCTCAGCCACGGGTGCTGCAACTTAGCTCAGCCTGGCCCACCCACAGAGTCAACCCTCAGGCATGCCAATAGGTGCTACCACCTTGGCCATTCTGGCCCTCCCTCAGCTCTGGTTCTTGTGTTGCAGGGCAGTAGGTACACCCTAGCAGGGAGTGTTCACTGTTCCCCTGCCAGGCATGTTCCTAGCCCCAGACTGTGCAGCTGCCAGTGGATGCTACAGTCAAGCCTGACATGACTCACACCCATTCCCAGCACTTGCCAGTCAGCGCTGCACTCTAGGTTGGCTGGCCCACACCCATTCTGGCTCTTGTGCATGCCAGCCAGTGCAGCAGCCAGGCAAGCCTGGCCTGCCCTGAGACCAGCCCACTTCTGGTGCCAGCTCTCAGGCTCATCAGTGGAAGCAGCATCCCAACAAGGAAGTCCCCATAGTTCCCCTACTGGGCCTGTGCTCAGCTCCAGTTCTTGCACATGCCAGCAGGTGCTGTGACCTAGTCTGAGCTGATCCACCCACAGTCTCACCATTTGCCAGCAGGTGCTATAGCCTGGCTCAGTCTGGCCCACACCCGCTTCCAGCTCTTGCCAGCCTGTGTGGCAGCTTAGTCCAGCTTGGCCCACTCCCAGCCTCAGCCCTCATATGAACTGGTGGATGCTGCAGTCCATTCTGGTTCATGCCATCAGGTGCTGAGGCCTGGCCCAGCCCAGCCTGACCTGTCCCCAGACCCAGCCCACACAAACTCTGTCCAATACGGAATCCTTGCCTGGCCTAGCCTGGCCCTAGTCCCAGCTCCTGTGCTCCCCAGATAGAGTTTTGGACTCGTAAGGCCATTCCCCAAGTTCTCTTATCAGTCTTATTTCTTAATCTTTAATTTTAATTTTTGAGGATGTTTACATAGTCAATCAAGGTGGGAAGAATTGACGGTTAGGGAAAAGTGACTGTGGTCATTGTTTCCAAATTTCCTTATTTCTTCTTCCTGCTTTCAGGGGAAGAGGGGAGGCAAGGGGAGAAGCCGTGCCCAGCCTCCCAACCATTCCAGTATCCAGGGATGGGGAATGGCTACCCAATATCAACCCTGGGCCCCTGATGTGGCACATGCTGCAAGGGTTCTGCCTTGTGATTTCAATAGTTCTGAACTGCTGTTGACCTCACCCATCCAAGGATCAGAAACCCCACCCCCAAATGTCCGTTGGCTGACATAGTTGACCTTAGAGTCTCCATTCACCCAAATATTTGCTGTCATGTTTTCTCGAGGTAGTTGTCCAATTGGTTTTGTTCTTCTTCTACTATTGTGATTCTGGATGTCCTCAGCAGGCCCCAAGGGGCTGCCATTTCCTCCATGTGCATCTGGACCAGCCATGCACCGATCTTTCTCTTTCACTGAGGCAACCCAGGTCTCACATGCACTCCATAGTCAGACCACTAGTCCTGGATGTGAGCTGCCAGGGCTCTGCATGCCCCCACCTGTGCCATCCTAGACCCTTGTAAGGCCACAAACCAAGTCCCACAAGCATGCTACCAGGAAACCATTGAGCTTTCCCTGGCACCATTAGTGCCTTGGGCCACCCAACCCAGGCCCCACTGGAAAGCCCATGCCCAGGGCTCCTGGACCTGGCACCCACCACACAGGCAGGTCAAAGGACCCAGGCCAGGTGAAGCAGTCACCCTCACCCCTGGACATCCTGTCCACCCTTCATTCCCTGGGGCTCACGCACCCAGCACCCATGCATCTACTGGCTCAAGGATCTGGCCTAGGCAACCTGAGCTCCACCAAAAGCCCTGTCTCCAGGGCTCACAGACCCAGAACCCACCACATAGATGGGCCCAAGGACCCACGGCAGATGACTCAGTGCCCATCCTACAAGTCTTGCTCCCAGCCCCAGATCTCCCATGGAGTAGCAAGACTGCAGCCCTGCTTGGCACGGTCTGCCTTCAGTCCTGACTTTTGCATGCACTGGCAGCCGCATGTACTACAGCCTGCCTCAGCCTGCTTTCTTCAAGTCCCAGTCCACGCAAGTGTCAAGTGGGTTCCTGTCAGCTGAGTTCCATGATCCAGCCTGGCTTAGCCTATCATGCCACAGCTGTCTGCATAAACCAGCAGGTACTGCATTCCCACAGAGGTGAGGCTACAATTCCCCTACAGAATCTGCCCCCAGTTTTGTTTTCTCACATTCTGGTGGGTGCTGTGTTCCAGCCTGATGTGGCCCATCCCTGCTCCAACACTCACAGGCAGGTACTGTGGCCTAACCCAGCCAGTCATGCCATCCAGCCCGTCACTGCAAGCACCAGTGGGCAGCAAGTGATGCTCTAAGTGCAGCTCAGGTCTTCCATATGAGCGTGTGTCTTGGTCTGACTCAGACATGTCGTCTAGCTTTCTGTTTCTAAAGCACTCTATCTCGGCTCCCTCGCCTACCTGTGAATGCAGTGGCCTGTTGTGGGAGAGACCCGAGAAATCATTTCTTTGCTATCAAACATGTCCGCAGCTGCTCTCACTCCAATACATCCCCAGACACCCTTTTCTGAGGAATCTACAGTGCCCTCCAGCATTGGGGTTGGGAGGTATGTCCCAGCTCCAAATTACATCAGTGTGTGTTAGGTGTGTGTCCAGATTTGCTTTATAATTTATTTCAAATGTAAGTATTTAGTGATACACTGTTAGGAATATCAGTGGGTTGCAAATTATCTTTTGTCTGAATCACATGCAGAGTTTAGAAAAATACATTTATAATCCACAAAAACTAATTATAGTCCTGTGAACACTTTGATGAGCTTATGTTGAAGTCAAACTTTGTGTTGCAACTGTCTTTGGAAAGCAGAAATAAGGTGGATAGATCTGGGCAGCTGTCAGGTCAGAGAATGCCAAAATCATCGACATTGATTAAGCAAGATATGCAGATTGGCATTCAGTACAAGAACCAGGTCATGTGATGAAATGGCTGGTATCTCCATGATGTGGCTGGAGGTGCGTGGTCTCTATGCCCAGTCCCCAAGCATGTGTCCCACTTCCTTTGCCACGTCAGGATATGCCTCTCTTCCCATGACCATGGTGGCCTTCTGCATGAGAGAATTTATGATAAAGTAAATATTGTTTTAATTCTAGGATGTCTTTCTTGAGCCCTTCCAGTGAGGATTTTAGTCGCTAAATAGAACAGAGCAGTCCATTAAAGATGTCTACATATTTGAATGGCAGATGGAGCTAGCCACATCCAGCAAGGAACGAAAATTGGTTTGCTCTGTAACACACACACACACACACACACACACAAACACACACACACACACACAAACACACACACGGACAGATAACATACACACACACATAAATGCTGAAGGTGCTGGTTGCAAGCAGGTTTGGGAAATATGTGCACGTGGTTTACGAAATAGTTACTGTATTGTCTAAGTTTCAAGCACACTTGGCAATACTTTCTAGGTTTCTGTTATCCTCACTTGGCAGTTACCTGCCACATACTATCTTCTATCCTTTGAAAAGTCTCTTTCCAAAATGTTTAAACTGATACATTGCATTTTACTGTTTCAACTGTGATGTCAACTCAAAATCACAACTGTGGTCACAGCTCACTGTCTTCTTTGTCTTTCTCACCCTTTCAGTCCTCCCCCACCCTTACCTGCTTCCTGTTTTTATCTTCACTAACAGCCCGGCCGCGCTGATGTTCCACCTCTGCCTGGACACAGATCCATAAAGGTCAGCCTGGGACCCCAAGCGACTCACAGGGAGGAGCCAGACGAGCACTTCCTCCCACCAGGCACTCTTTAGCTCTGGACACCTGGCTCCGTAATGGCAGTGCCAGGGACCCCGATGCCCTTCAGGATCACTCTTGTGCTGCTCTGGTTTGAGGTATCTCTGTTCCTTCCTGACCTCTCCCAGGCCAGGTCCTCGCAACAGTTCAGCTCTGTGGAAGTGGTGATCCCCCTGAGGGTGACGAGCAAGGGCAGAGGTGTAGGGTCCCCAGGATGGCTCTCCTACAGCCTGCGGTTTGGGGGCCAGAGACACGTTGTCCACATGAGGGTCAAGAGGCTCCTGATTTCCACACACCTCCCTGTGTTCACCTACTCAGAGCAGCATGCCCTCCAGGAGGACCACCCATTCGTCCCTGAGGACTGCTTCTATCATGGTTTTGTGGAGGGGGACCCTGAGTCCCTGGTTGCTATCAGCACCTGTTATGGGGGTTTTCGAGGAATGTTACAGATAAACAACCTCATGTATGAAATTGAACCGATTGAGTACTCCACCACCTTTGAACACCTGGTGTCTCAGATTGACAGTGATGACACACAATCCCCACCCATGAGATGTGGCTTAACAGAAGAGTTGATAGCTCAGCAACTGGCATTGCAAGTGTCATATAACTTCACTGTGGAACCACGTTCTCGACTGAATTGGTGGACACACTGGCGCTATATTGAGCTGGCAGTGGTTGTGGACCATGAGCGATATGTTTACTCTGAACGTAATGATAGTGTAGTGCTGAATGATTTATTTCATGTTATTAATATGGTGGATGAATACTTTAAGCACATAGAGGTTGATGTCATTTTGACTGGAACTGAAATCTGGAATGTTGAAAACGCAATAGATACTAGTGGTGACTTAGATCCCGTCTTGGAAAGATTTTCTTTTTGGAAATCTTTGAACTTGGATGCCCGTCTTCCCCATGATGTTGCACATCTTATTGTAAAGGAATTTCATGGGGTTCTTGGTGTTGCCTATGTTGGAGGAATATGCAAGCCTCGTTTTAATTGTGGAGTTGATGTTTTTCAAGACAGTAGACTAAGTATTTTTGCAAACATTTTGACCCATGAGCTTGGACATAGTTTGGGTATGTTGCATGATTTGGTATGGTGCACTTGTGGAGAAGAGTTTTGCATAATGCATCCCAGCCGAAAGAATGCACGACGGTTTAGCAACTGCAGTTATTCTGAATACACAGCAAATACTCTAGATACTGGGACCTGTATTCTCTCCCCTGCAGAGCCACAGCATGTTTTAAGCTTGATATTCTGTGGGAACCGAGTTGTAGAAGAAGCAGAGGAGTGTGATTGTGGATCTTTTGTGGAATGTATACAGGATCCTTGTTGTCTGTTTAACTGTTCTCTGAAGCCTGAGGCTGCTTGTGGTCATGGAGCTTGCTGCAAATATTGTGAAGTCCAGCCATCTGGGACTGTATGTAGGGAGAAGACCAATGAGTGTGATCTTCCAGAGTGGTGCAATGGGACTTCACCTGAGTGTCCAGAAGACGTGTACCTACAGGACGGCATTGAGTGTGGTACAAATTCCTACTGCTATCAAAAGTCTTGTAATAGCCATGACATTCAGTGTAAAGAAATTTTTGGCACAGAGGCCTCGAGTGCGTCTGCCAGTTGTTACAGTGAAATGAACACCCAAGGAGATCGCTTTGGCCACTGTGGTATTCAAGACACCACATATGTAAAATGTACGGCTCCTGATGTCATGTGTGGGCGAGTCCAATGTCAAAATGTCATCACACTTCCCGCATTGAAAGATCACTACACAGTGCATCAATCTCACATCAACGGCACCACCTGCTGGGGCACAGATTATCATTTAGGGATGTCCATACCTGACATAGGTGAAGTGAAGGATGGCACGGTGTGTGATACAGGCAAGATGTGCCTCAAGCAGAAGTGTGTTGCTAGGCTTCAACCATCGGTAGACTGTCAGAGGTGGCACTGCAACATGAGTGGCATCTGCAATAATAAACAGCACTGTCACTGTCACCCAGGATGGGCACCTCCCAACTGCACTGTGGAAGGCCCTGGAGGCAGTGTAGATAGCGGTCCACCACCACCTCTGCCGGTTGAGGAGCACCCCCCTGTGGTGGAGTCAAACTACAAGAAATTCATTCTTTTTCTATCGGTGCTACTACTTATTGGTTTTATTCTTCTATGTTTGTGTTGCTTCTTTTTGCTGTATGAAAAAGAGAAAAGGAAAGAGAAAAAAGATGAAGGAGTAGAGGGGCAGGAGGAAAAACAGGAAGCAGAAGAAGAGGCAGAAGAGGAAGAGGAAGAAGAAGAAGAAGAAGGCTAAGACACTTCTTTCAAAATAATCTCTAATTTTTCTGTTGGTAATGCAGTCACATGGTACTTGCGTTTAGACAGAAATGTGGTTCCTCATGCTAGCACTATAAGCATTAAATATTTCAGCATGGATTTTACATTCATACGTGCAATATTTTCTGTAAAATTAAACATCAGGTTTCCACCAATTTATTTCATTATTCTCTTTTTGTGCTCTCGAGCGAACAGTTGTGTTAGACACCAATGCTGTGGTAAGTAGGTGAAGAAATGCAAGGTGCAGATGAGAAATTGAAGTGCATTCTGACCTTGTTTGGTATCATAGTGAAATAGTATTTGACAGAGTTGTTTGAGATGGGTCAAAAGTGTTCTGGGATTCTCACCCTTTCCTTGCTTATTCACTCTGGGAGTTGTGGCAGCGTCTCTGAAACTCAGAAGAACGCATCTCTAGATGTTTTTGTCTCACCATTGGCACTGCAGCTGGTCAGCAAGACCTTTCTCCAAGGCAGATCTGGCTGCTTATTGCACAGTGCAACTGTTGGAAGCTGTGGTTCACTTTTAGTTATATGTTCTGGCAACAGCTCCTCTCATTGCCTTGGGTATTTCTTCTTACGGGGAACATTCAAGAAGGAAGTCAGCGGAATAAACCTAGACTATGCTTTGTAGTCTCTAGACTATGCTTAGTAGTGGAGATGTAAGTGCATTTATTTGTTATTTTTCCTCTATATTAGGGATGCAGATTTTCACTTGGTCTATGTATGACCCCTTTAGGAACAAATTCTCTAACGTTATGAAGTCCATATTTTCATATGATAGGAAACGCATACAGTGAACATTATGGGGAATGAGGCCACGTTTTCTCCTAGTCTTGGTTTGAAGATCCAGGTAATGGTTCTTTTTCAATCGTACAATCTATTTTGGGAAATGGCACCCTGTAATCATGTTTTATCACAGAACAAATGCTTCAGCTTTGGCCTCAGATGTCCCTTCAGTAATATTTCTAAAATATTATGTGTTTGAAATCACATGTTAATTTATCTGATATGGAGTTTGTAAATACCATGGTGTTTAGCTCACTTCTCCAATTCCTTCCCTGTAAAATGTGTACCTTGATCTGATATGGTATTATATGTGAATACCACACCAGCCTTTGGCTGTTTTGGGTTGTTGAATCACAGTGCCTTATCTCTTTTGAGATTGGACCTATTATATGAAAGTAGAATTTGGTCTGTATTAAGGAGACATTACTGGCCCTTCCAGGATGGTAGGGACTCCATGGATCTTGAACCCAAGCACTGTAATGGAAGATGCAAGAATGTCACCTTCTCTTATTCCTAATGCCTAGCCTAAACAGTATCTTTGTTTGTGAAAAATATGCAGGTGCCCAATCTCAGTTGTTTATTAAGAGTGTTAAAAACAGGCTAATAGGGCCCACTATGACAACCTATCAACTAAAGTCTTCGCCTTGAATGCACCGGCATCCCACGTGGGCGCTGGTCCTAATCACAGCAGCCCTGATTCCTATGCCGTTGTCTGTGTGTGGCCTGCGAAAGCAGTCAAGGACGGCCCAAAGCCTTGGGACCCTGCATCCATGTGGGAGACCCAAAAGAGGCTTCTGGCTTCGGATTGGCTTGACTCCAGCTGCTGTGGCCATTTGGGGAGTGAACCATTGGACAGAAGATCTTCCTCTCTGTCTCTCCTCTTCCTTGCATATCTGACTTTCAATAAAAATAAATAAATCTTTTTAAAAAATGGGCTAATACAATAAAGATTCACTATTACCATTTTGGAATTTAATTGTCTTCTAGTTATATTTCAAGATCATTTCTTCCTCTCTTAAAAGCTATCCTCCTTTGTGCCTAAATGAGTTTTAGAAATAATATGTTTTTTCCTTCTTGCCTTTTATTGTTGGTAATTCTATTGAAATTTTTATTATGATGAAGTCAACCAAAACATTTGTACATGTATAGCATTATATAGAGATGTAATATTAGTATAAACTTCCTTTGATCAGAAATAAAATAAACAAATGGAATGAAACTCAATACTTTTTCATTCCTCCCAAAACACAAATATTGAACTTTTCATAGCATTAATTATATGTTTTTATGTTGACTATGTAGTTATCAATGGGGGGCGTTATAATCGTTTTTAATAGTTTTATATTTTATTCTTATTTGTAAAATAAAAAATTTATAATTTATTCTTATTATGTGTCAGTATATTCCACATCACCATTCCTGAATTTGAGTATTCTGACTTGGTATGCTTATTTTTTTTACTAGGGAGTTTTATGCCTGCAGATGTTTTCTAATTACACGTTAACATCCTTTTCTTTCAGTTTGAAGAACTCCATCTGCTCTCTTTTTGTGAGACAACTCTAACGATGAATTTTCTCAGCATCTGTTTGAATGGAAATGTATTTTTCTCTCCCTTCTGAAGGCTTGTTCCAAGTATGGCATTCTTGATTTACAGTTTTTCCCTTTCATAATACTGAATATAATATCTTTCAGTGTAGAAGTTATTTCCAAGAACATTGGGAATACATTGTTATTTTTCCATTCTATCACTTTAAACTTCTTTTTGTCTTTGTGTTTTGAAAAGTTGTATGTTCGATAATAGTCATATTAGGATCAAATCTGCTTAGTACGTATGTGCCAATATTCTTGTGAGCACAATGGCCGATGCTATGCCAGTCCGAATCCAGGAGCCAGGAACTTCTTCTGGGTATCCCACACAGGTGCAGAGTCCCAAAGCTTTGGGCTATCCTCAACTGCTTTCCAAGGTCACAAGCAGGGAGCTGGATGGGAAGTGGAGCTGCCGGGATTAGAACCGGTGCCCATATGGGATCCTGAGGGTGTTCAAGGCGAGGACTTAAGCTGCTAGGCCACTGTGCTGGGCCCAGTATATCTAGTATTATGATGCCTCTAGCTCTGTTTTTGTTGTTTTAGATTGCTTTACCTATTTGGAGTTATAAACTCTGGCAACTCAGCTGCATCACAGAGCACTAAAACTTATTCCTCCTACATAACTGTGTTTTGATACTCATTACTGAATATTTGCCTATCACTCTCCTCGCCACACACACACACACACACACACACTTATACCTTCTAGTAACACTATTCTGTTATCTTCTATGAGATCATTTTTAGCTTTCAAGTAAGAGTAAGAACATGGAGAATTTATGTTCCCATGCTTCAGTTATATGGTTAATACAATATTCTCTAGTTCCATATATTTTCTTGAAGAGACAGAATTTCACTCATTTAAAAAAAGGCTTTAAAAAGCTTCATAGTATTACACTGTATGTGGTTCACTTCCCCAAATGCTCATGAAAGTTGGAACTGAGCCAGACCAAAGCTAGGAGTTGAAAACTCCATCCTGCTTTTCCTTGTGGCAGGGACCTAATTAGTGAGTCATTGATTGATGCTTCTCCTTTATTCATGTGTGTTTTTAAACTTTCATTTCTTGTGTTCCAGCTCACTGAGTTTCATTTAGGTGATGCTTTTGAGTTTTTTGTGAGGCAACTTGTAAATATCATTTTCTTTATGATTGGTTATTGGTGCATTGTTTTGTACGTTTAGTTGACGTCATGCTGCTTGGTTGCTCATGACTTTTATGTCTGTGTGGTGATGCTCACACATTTCAAGGATGGGCTGATTCCAATCTTTACAAATTGGCTTTGAATGGCTTTCCTGTTTGGCTTTGAAATTTCTTTCCTATTGTACCTGTCCAGAGGTTCTTGACAACCTCTCATGCTCATGGATGACCTTGTTTCTGAAACCTTCAGACAGCCTGGCCTATGGTAGATTGCCCAGCTGGGTGGGTTTGATAACCTGAGCTACAGAGTTGAGCCTAGATTTTGGGTCCCCTGGAGAAAACCTGGGGCCTGTGTTATCTTGGGTTGGTCTGTAACCTGTATTTATCAATGTGGAACTGTACACTATATCCATGGTGAGTCTGGGGTTAGCCTAAGCTGGATCTGATATATGGGTCCATGACATGGGTCTGATCTGATATATGGGTCCCATGTGGACATGGGACTTGAGTAAGTCGTGCCTAGCTTTGTCATGAGTCAATGGAAATCAGCCAGGGTTCTGGGTTCATGTGTATACCCCATAGCTTGAGGTAAGGGGCAGTTCCAGATCCTTTGTATGTACAGGAACCTGTTGCCAGAATTTACTAGTGTAGTACTAGATAAAGGTTTCACAGGAGGTAGAAGCTGTGGGATTTTGCTTGGAGCTTACTACTGGAAGTATTGGATCAGTCTCTAGAGCCAAAAGAAATGGCCTTGTTCCCAGATTGATGTACACTAGTTTCATTCTAGATAAGCTTGGAAGTGCCCCATGAGCATGGGCTAGAGTTCTGGGTGTGAAGAGGCCAATCTAGATCGAGGTCCAGAGGGGAATCCTGGAGCCTGAATCCCATGGTGTCTCTGAATGTTCTGAGGTTCTTGAATACAGGCCTAAATGTCAGGGATGCTAGAGAAGGCCAGGAACCTGTTTCTGCCAAAGTGTAAGGGTTTAGGGACTGCCCTGGATGTGAGTTAGTCTGGAGCTTGTACCTGTGAACACTAGCCTGGAAACAGATTTGCAGGTGCAAACTTGCAATGTAGAAGGACTGAAAGTTGATTCTGCTGGGTCTGGCCTGGTGGTGAATTAGGCTTGAAGTTGCATCCTGAGGGGACCTTCAGGGTTGTAGTGGGACGGGATAGTATTGTTGTGCCCAATGGAAAGTCTGACATTCACTTCACTCTCTTTCCTCCATGTGGAGGCATCTGGAATGCTTATGATAAAGGTGAGGGAGGGGTGATGTGGTAGTATGAAATTGTCATCCCCACATTTCTGCATTGTATATTTTGTAATTTATTTACTGTATCCAAATGTTATAATTGTTTCCTTAACTCTTGTGGTGTTTCAAATGGACCATGAGATTATAAGCATTAGGCAATTCTATTCTACCATCTTGATGAATTGTTTTTTGTATTGGATGTTTGAATCTTCCTTTAGTCTTGAAGACAAACCCAACTTCCCAAATATGGGTACTATGGCCAGGAGTCTTCTTTCCAGTTATTAAAAATTCAAAAACGAATTCGAATTTTCCAAGCTTTATCATTCAGTTAAAAATTCACATTGAATTTGTTGTCTTTTCATGACTTTTTCTTAACTTTTTTATACTCATTTGGGAATTTTAGGTTAAGGTTGTAACTGTGAATTTCTGTGCTTTTGCTTTCTTTAGGGACTTTATTTTGTTCTTTATTTTTGTCTTACCAGAATTTAGTATGCGATTTGACCATGATTTTCTTTTTGTTGCTTATAATATAACCTTAGGTTTTAGCCTGTATTTAGCAGGCATAATAGGAAGAAATATATATACTCTAATTAGTCTGCAATGAGAAGTTCTTATTTCTTACTTTAAAAAAATGTTACTGTTTTTTGGGCCTGGCAAAATGACTCAATGTCTAAATCCATACCTTGCAAGTACCAATATCCCATATGGGCACTGGTTCATGTTCCAGCTGCACCACTTCCTATCAAGCTCCCTTGTCATAGCATGAGAAAGCAATAGAGGATGACGCAAAACCTTGGGATCCTACATCCCTGTGGGAGACATGGAAGAAGCTCCTGGCTCTGGATGAGCTCAGCTCTGGCAGTTACAGCCATTTGGGGAATAATCAGCAGATGGAAGATCTTTCTGTCTCTCCTCCCTATAAATCTGATCTGCCTTTCCAATAAAAATTTAGTAAGTCTTTAAAAAAATGTTAGTTATTAAAAGTCGGAGTGATCATTTCTTCCCACATTCATATCTTCTGGTTTATTATTTGCTTTGTCTGACCCAAGAATTCTGTTGTTCAGGAATTTTTCTCCTTGTGTCGAATTTCTTTGCTTATTGCTGCTATTGTGTTACTATCAAACATTTCCTCGAGTTAGTGTGACTTTCTATTTTTCTCATTTATTGAGATTTTTTTTTCTTTCATTGTTAGCCATGTCTGATGATAGGAGAATATTTAATCCACCGAGGTAAGCTGAAAACAAATCTACTCATATCTATCCTTCCTAAGACAGACAGAGATATCCTCCAGTTGTGCCTCATTGGATGAAACAGTTGATGGGAAGGAACGTCCTCCAGAAAATTCCTTCAGGAAACAAGTAGAAATAGTAGCATCTTTTCCTGAGGGAAAACAGAAGGGAACTGCGACTGAAACTTCCGGTTGATAATTATCTCATGGAGTTCTGGATTTACTAGTTTAATTAGGAACTAGTAAGTTTTATTAGATTTCTTTTTATGTGTTCCCAGGCACAGATCTTGTGTCAGTGGTTACTCTGACACAGCTTGGCATAATCCCACCTCATCTGTCTTAGATTTTGCCTTTGGATGCTGTAGCCTAGCTTGACCTGGCCTGCCCCCAGTCCTACCTCTCACTGATGGGTGCTGGAACCTGGCTCTGCTCAGTCTATTCCTAACCCTGGCTCATGCAAACCGGTAGGTGAATGAGCCTAGCCCAGCAGGACATGCAGTCCAGCCTGATTTCTGCACTTGCCAGTGAGCTAAGGTTTGCTTGTCCCTGTCCAGTCCGCCCCCTTCCAAAACCAACCCACATACTTGCCAGCAGATGAAGCTACCATGCCTAGCCTGCCTGACCCCCAGGCCTGGACCATGCGTTCACCAGCCACAGCGATGACCCACTAGTGAGTTGCCTAAGTTGTTGCATTCAGCCCACTCCCAACTCCAGATCTCACGCATGCCAGTGGGTGCTAGGCCCTTGCCTGGCATAGCCTGCTCCATCTTGGCCTTTGTATTTCTATGGGAATTGCTCACAATCCCCCACAGAATCTGCTCTGGAACTGGTTCTTTCCTTCTCTCTCTCTCCCTCTATCTGACTTTTCAATAAAAACTTTTAAAAAGAAAAGAATGAAAATAAAACTTGTCAAGTGGGCATTTGTCCAAACAGTAAGAATGCCACTTGGGATACCCACACCCATATTAGAGTTCTTGGTTTGAGTCTAATCTCTGCTTCCAACTCCAGATTCCCGATAATGCCCACTCTTAGAGGTGACAGATAATGGGGGAAGTACCTGGATCCATGCCACCAAAATAGGAGTGAATTCTGTGGTGTTTTAGCTTGGCCCAGCCCCACTGTTGTAGGCATTTGGGGAGTGAACCAGTGGGTGGGGGAAATTTCTTCCTGTGCTTCAAATAAAATGAAGTCAATTAATAGTTTATCTTTTTTTTTTAAACCCTGTATATAAAACAGAAACCAGTGAAGTTTGAAATTTCTAATTTAAAAGTGTACTCTGGTGATTATAACTGTTTCTAGCTTATGTGGAAAAAGATTTGGTAGTAAAATTGAATTTCCCCTTACTGCGGAAAAGCTATTATCATTCAATCCAAGCATGAAAAGTCGTTAGACAATCTAGACCAGTGTAATAGCATGAGAAAAATGATAAAGTAAAGATGAATCTATGTTGCAAGGCAACACAACTCTGGAGTTGAAGAGGCTATTCATTTTAATTATATTGAATTCAGAAGTGAAATTGTGTAGACATGGTACAGCCAGAAGAAAATATTCTTGATAGTAAGTTGCTTTCTCGGTATGCACAAAAGATCCTTGCTGGTAAGCATATGAGTCTAAAGTTACCTGAGAGGCAAAAGGGATATGGGCTAATGCTTGCTTTCATTCTAAGTGGTCCCAATTTCAAAGTTTTGATCATTACTAATAGTGATTATAAACTATCTAGACAGAAAGAGATATAGAAACTACTGGCTTGGGAGTTTTTTTTTCTGAATGGTAAATCATTCATCAGTTTTCGATCTGTGCCTAAGTTGGTATCCAGAGTAGGTTTACTGGAAAATGTGAGATTTCTTGACTGTTGTTTTCCTTTTAAAAGATAATAGGTAAGGGTTAGCATGACAGACTGTTTGTATTAGTCAGAAGCAGAGATGCATACTGCATAGTACCTTTACTTCCCAATAATGCTAGTCTCCCTTGTACATTTTACATCGCAAATACATATATGCACATATAAATTTGATTACATATATGCACATACAAAATTTGCAAATAATTGAAAAGTGGAGCTAGAAAGAGAGGTAGAAAGAAAGAGAAATCTTTCATCCATTAGATGGAATAACTTTGCTTGTTGGTCGTCTTATACCAGAGAGAATATATTATGTTTGTCTTTTTGGGACTGGCTAATGTAACTAGTATAATGGTTTCCAGCTGGGATCATTTTGTGGCAAACAGCAAGATTTTGTTGTTCTTTATGGCTGAGTATTATTCAGTGGAGTAGAAGCACCACAATTTCTGTATCCTTTTCTCTGACAAGAGCATCTAGGTTGATTTCTTACTTTGCTGTTGTGACTTGTGCTATTATAAATATAGGGTTGCAAGTATCTCTCTTGAACTCAGATGTCATTTTCTTTGGATATATTCCCAGGAGTGAAATGGCTGGGTCATGTGGTGCATCCATTTTCAGCTATCTGCATACTCTCCATACTGACTTTCAAAATGGCTGTGCTAGTTTACATTCCCACCAACAGTGGATCAGAGCACCTTTCTCCCCATATCCTTGCCAACAACCGTTGCTTGCTCACTTCTGTATGTGGGCTGCATGGATGGAACATGGAGCTTCTAAACCTGAGAAGAGCTTGATTCCATTATTAGCCTTAGGAATCATGATCTAGTTCCAAGGTCTCATAGCAACAGGAGTGTTAGCTTTCTCTGCTCGTCTTTGCTGGATCAGAAATAGATCAACCGAGACACGAACTAACCTCAATATGGGATACAAGTATTACAGGTGAACTCTTAATCCACTACACCACAATGACATGCCCTCTTCATTTTACTGGTTTCATGGGTATTTTCACCAAAGATTCAGATAATTTTCTAAGTAGCTATGTTTCAACCTCAACTATTATTACGATTTGGGTGATATGGTTTTATATATACCTCCTAACTCCCCGCCTCATTTTTGAAAGCAAAGGAAACCAATGTCTTGACTTGTAATGAATCTTTTTTCATACCATTCTTTCTCTTTACCAAGTTCCCTCCTAGTGTTGCTAGCATCCCCCACTCTTCTTTTTATTTTACTTTCAGCATGGCAACGTTGATGGTCCATTTCTGCCAGGACAGAGTTCTGTAGCAGTCAGCTCTACAACGTGTGCAGTCCAGAGAGAGGAGCAGCATTAGTAGTGGCATCAAACTCCCACCTCTTCTGTTCAGCAGATGCTTCACAATGGTGGTAGTGGAGGCTGGAGCATTCGTAAGAATCACTTTCCTGTTGCTCTGGCTTGGAATATCTCTGCCCTTTTCTGGCCTCTTCAAGGCTGAACCTCAACATCAAACGTCTCCAGAAGTGGTGATCCCCTTGAGGGTGACGGGCAAGGGCAGAGGTATAGGGTCCCCAGGATGGCTCTCCTACAGCCTGCGGTTTGGGGGCCAGAGACACGTTGTCCACATGAGGGTCAAGAGGCTCCTGATTTCCACACACCTCCCTGTGTTCACCTACTCAGAGCAGCATGCCCTCCAGGAGGACCACCCCTTCGTCCCTGAGGACTGCTTCTATCATGGCTTTGTGGAGGGGGATCCTGAGTCCCTGGTTGCTCTCAGCACCTGTTACGGGGGTTTTCGAGGAATGTTAAAGGTAAATGACCTCAGTTATGAAATTGAACCTATGAGGCATTCTACCACCTTTGAACACCTGGTGTCTCAGATCAGCAGTGATGAGACACATTCCCAATACATTAAATGTGGATTAAAAGAAGAGGACATACCACATCAACACTTGGAATTTGAAAAGGCTGAAAACCCACCTCTAAAACAAAATCCTGCTGATGAGTGCTGGACTCACACATCATTGTTTCTGGAGTTTTTTGTGGTGGCAGATCTTGACTTCTTCACCTACTCCCAAAGCAACTTCTCCAAGGTGCAAGAGGACATAGTTCTTATTGTCAACATAGTAGATTTCATGTATCAAAAATTGAGTGTCTGTGTGATATTGATTGGGATTGAAGTCTGGAATCAAGGAAATGCTTTCCTGATGAGAAACATGAGACAAATCCTGGAAGATTTCTCTCAGTGGAAGCAAATTAGGCTTTCCCAGTTACAGCATGACGCTGCACATATTTTCATCAAAAATTCACTTATGCCCATACTTGGGCTAGCCTATGTTGCAGGAATATGCCGTCCTCCCCGTGATTGTGGAGTTTGTAATTTCCAAGGTGACACCTGGTCTTGTTTTGCTAACACTGTGGCCCATGAGCTAGGTCATATTTTGGGCATGCAGCATGATGAGAAATTCTGCTTTTGTGGGGAACCTGGTTGCATCATGAGTACGCTCAAAGTTCCAGCAGATAGATTCACAAATTGCAGTTATGCTGATTTTATGAATACCAGTTCACAACAGGGGTCTTGTCTGCATGATATTCCAAGACCAGAAAAAGTGTTTTTGCTGAAGCGCTGTGGGAATGGCATCGTTGAAAGAGATGAGGAATGTGACTGTGGATCTATAAAACAGTGTGAGCAAGATCCCTGTTGTCTGTTGGACTGTAAACTGAAGCCTGGGGCTGCATGTGCTTTTGGGCTTTGTTGTAAAGACTGCAAGTTCATGCCACTAGGGGAAGTGTGCAGACAAAATGTCAATGAATGCGACCTCCCGGAATGGTGCAATGGGACATCACATCAGTGTCCAGAAGACAGATATGTGCAGAATGGGAGTCCCTGTAGTGACAATGGCTACTGCTATGAAAAAAGATGTAATAACCATGACCAACAGTGCAGGGAGATTTTTGGTAAAGGTTCAAAGAGTGCATCTCAAAACTGCTATAAGAAAATCAACACCGAAGGAAACCGTTTTGGACACTGTGGTAAAAATGGCACAGTATACCTAAAATGTAATCCTTCTGATATCTTTTGTGGGAGAGTTCAGTGTGAAAACGTGGAAAGCATTCCTAATCTGCAAGATAAATCTGCTGTACAGCTCACTCACATCGATGGTGTCTCCTGCTGGAGTTTCGAACATTATTTAGGGATGGGCACACCTGACATTGGCGAAGTGAAAGATGGCACTGTCTGTGGAACTGGTAAGATCTGCATTCACAGGAAGTGTGTCAATATCTCTGTCATGTCACAAATATGCCTTCCTGAGACCTGCAATAATAAAGGAATCTGCAATAACAAACATCACTGTCACTGTGGGTATGGGTGGTCCCCTCCCTACTGCCTGCACAGAGGTTATGGAGGTAGTGTTGACAGTGGCCCAGCAACTTCACAAGGAACTGCTTTATTGTTGCAATTTGGGATCATTTCTCTGTCTGTTTTAATTGTTCTTCTGATTGCTGGGCTTTGTATGTATTTTTGGAAACCTTTTGGTCTCAAGACAGCTGCCTCATCAGGCTGAGGAACTGTTTCTGCCTTAATATTTCACATGCTATTATTAATCTCTTGGTAGTAGAAGTGTTATCCTGTGCTCCAAACAGTATATTTCTGACGGTTTTACAGATATGCAAAGTTATTTCTTTCCATTAGTATCAGAAACATTGTAAGTACAGATAGTTCTTAACATGTTCCTATGTATGGTTTATTAAGCAGAAAATAAACTCAGTCCTATTGAAGAACCCAATTTAGTCCTTCCAGTATTTTCTTAAAATAAATTGTTGTAAATTTATTTGAAATGGGGAGAGGGAGATTAAGGGGAGAGACAGGATGAGAGGCAGAGAGGAAGGGAGGATAGGGAGAGAGAGAGAGAGATTGAAATCAAGAGAGCCAAGAACCCAGAACCCCAGAACTTCATCTGGGTCTCCAACATGAGTGGCAGGGACCCAGCCATTTGAGCTATTACCTACTACCTTCCAGAGTGTGTTTTAACAGAAGGTCGGGTGGGACTTCAGCCCAGGCCTTTGATATGGAATTCATTTATCCTAAGGGACCACAGCAACAAATATCCACCCTCCTTTTTGTGTTTCTTGGGCATATATATGACTCAAAGGAAAGGCAGAAGACAGACTTCAGAGTGTCTGGAGATAAGTCTTGCATCTCTATTGCCATTTAATAATTCTGGAAAATTAAGTTATGCTGTGACGTTTTGTTTCAAAATTTGGAAAGGAAGAGGATAATACTGATGGCTCCACCCAACATCTGTCAACACAAAGGATGAAGTGCACTGTTGTTCATTATAAACTGGTGGTAATTTCTTTAATAAGAATATCTGACTTGTTGTGTGTGTGTGTGCTTCCTAACCAAGTTTATTTATTCTAACTCTGTCTTAATCTGGAAGCTTGAACATTTGTGTGTGTATATGTGTGTGTGTGTGTTACCTGTTTTGAATAGCAAAAAGATAGTGCTAAAGCCTCAATACTTATAGCAGCACTTCATACACAGAAGAAGTTGGAAAGAAGTAATGGAATTGAATGGAGTACTAAATTAGAAAAAGTACAAATAATACTTTCTTATCTTGGATACGTGATTCTGTTTCTCTTTTTAGAACTTCTGTAGTTTCTTGCCCTTCAAGTGACCTTTTTGATATCATTTTATATTACATTTTGCCAGTCTTGCATTCTTTAGCTGCTTTCTATTTAAAATGGAGTTGACTTTGTTATTCTTTACTACCTTGTTTATGCAGTTCCCCCTCGGCTAACCCTACTTATCAATCCACTCCACTTCCTTGCCTAAAAAATACCTATTCTTCTCTCAAATTATGGGAAAAGTCACATTTTAAGAAAAGTGCTTCTTCATTTTCTAATTTCAAAATTATTACTTATATTAGTATAAAGAGAACAGGCATCCTATAGAGTTCTAACAGATAATCGCATTTCCTTACCTCTGTCAAACCTGTCTGCATCATTCCTTCTCCTCTATTCCTTACATCAGTTTTTTTGCTAAGACATAATTTAAATCCACTTTATATTCACAGGCTTAATTCACCACTAATTGTAACATTGAACAAGTTATTAGGAAGACCAAAGTTCCACAGGAGTATAGCCAAGAGCCAAAAATGACAAATATATCAAAAAATGTCCATTGCATCCACACATATATTTTTGCACTGCATATTTGAACTGTCATTTGTCAAGAAAAAAACATAACATTTGGTTTTTGGAAAGAAGTTTATTTTACTGAGTATAATACCTTCCAGTTGGATTCATTTAGTGGCTAAATAGAATTTCATTCTTTTTTCCATTTTTTAAAAGATTTTTATTTATTTATTGGAAAGTCAGATATACAGAGAGGAGGAGAGACAGAGACGAATATCTTCCGTCCGATGATTCACTCCCCAAGTGACTGCAACAGCCTATGCTATGCTGATCCGAATCCAGGAGCCAGGAACTTCTTCTGGGTATCCCACGTGAGTGCAGGGTCCCAAGGCTTTGGGCCGTCCTCGACTGCTTTCCCAGGCCCCAAGCAGGGAGCTGGATGGAAAGTGGAGCTGCTGGGATTAGAACCGGTGCCCATATGGGATCCCGGGGGTGTTCAAGGCGAGGACTTAAGCTGCTAGGCCATGCGGCCGGGCCCTTTTTTCCATTTTTTAAAAATTATTTTATGATGTAGTTCCAGACGCTCAGGGATTTCCTATACTCCCTCCCCACTGATTCCCTTATATTATTGCAATAGTATATTTCTTCATAAACAGTCATAATTCCATCATTCTGCTATTTAAGTGTATCTCGACATTGCAGGTATGGATAATGGAAGAGAGTCTAGCATCCTATTGTCAAAATATATTTAACAATTTCATTGGGAATCCATTTTTGACTTGAGAATAGACATCTAGATATGAGTCTATATTACACAGTTGCTGTACATATCCTTTAATGAAAAGCCATAAGACAAGATCAAAAACAGGAATAAAACAGAAATCAAAACACCATGAAGTTAAATAACATGCTATTAAATGATTAATGTGTCACTGAGAAATAAAGAAAAATCAATAGCCTTCTTCAAGAAAATGATGCTACTGTATGACATGAGTCATTATTTCATTCTTTTTCATGGATATGTAGTATTTTAAAGTGTGTATTATATACATACATATATATATTTGTATACTCATTCTTTGTGTTAAACTTCTGATTAAAAAGAGAGATGAAAACATGCTACTGAAAACATTAAAAAAAATACAGGCAGAGGGTAGAGGGAGAGTGGGCAGGAGGAAAGCAGAGTGAGAAGGATCACTAAGATGCAAAATTTTGTCGTGATACAAGTAAAATTCGCCGGTGTAAGAAAAAAACCCAAATTTTAACACAGAATAATAAAAACACATATCCACCGCACTTGTAAAAGATTTTTATTAATTGAATTTATTAATTGAAAGCAGTCTGATAAGATAAAACTCAGTATCATGTATGGAGGACATAACAGATAGTACGTCTTTTTAATTTTATTTCTTTTTATTATTATCATATTATGATACAGTTCAATAGGCTCTGAGATTTTCCTTATTTCTCTCCAATTCCCTTCCCCCTCACTGAGTTCCCTTATATCATTACTATAGTATAGTTCTTCATATACAGTCATATATCCATTAATTGTGGGCATGGACAATGGCAGAGAATCCAGGATCCTATTGTCAAGATATAGTAAACAATTGTGGGTTGCTCTGATTGGGCTGTAGCTCCCACTGGTTTATGTGAGTGCCAGGTATGTGCTGGGCAGAGCCAGGCTGGACTGCATCACCCATTGGTTCCAGTGGAAGTCAGGAGTGAAAACAGAACCAACCCACCAGCTGATCGGGGTGATGGACTGTGGCGGGCCCTGTCCTTGCTAGTACATATAGGAATCTGGTCTGGGAACACCTCAAAGTTTCTTTGGGGATCCTCCCAATCGAAATGGCGGACTCAGAACTCTAAGAAAAGACGGAAGACAGAACAGGTTAGTCAACCACCTCAGCTATATGTTGGTAGCGAAATACTGGACAAATGGAGACTCTATGATGGACTATGTCAATCAGTGGATTCTTCAACAGCCTCATAGTGCTTGGAGTGGCAAGACTGGCAGCAATTAATAACTGGTGAACTATCAAAACCACTTGAGCAAGGATCTCAGAGCATGCCCCACATCGGGGACCTAGGGTGGGTGGGAGACTGTGTGGGGCTTCTCCCTCAATATTCCCTTTACCTCAGATATATGACAGAAACAATAGGGATATAGTGGTCTTACCTACTTTCCTATAGCCCTTGTACCTTTTTACCCTAATTAACAATGTAAAGATTGCCAAAAATATAATAAAAATATTTAATTTATTTTGCCATTTGATATGATTATTGATAAAATTAACTCTTAAAAATGTAACAAAATCTAAATAAATGCGGAAGTCCCCCCGCGCCCCCCCCCAAAAGATATAGTAAACAGTTTCATTGTAAGTCCATCTTTGGTCTGGAAGTAGAGGTGCATACTGCATTGTATCCTCACATTGTAATAGTCTCCATTACACAGTTACTATACATTCTCCTAAATGAAAAGCCACAAACAAAATAAACAACAGGAAGAAAAAAGAAATTAACAAAACCATGAAGTTAAATAACATGCTACTGAATGACTAATGTGTCGCTGAAGAAAGGTAACAAAAATCAAGAACCTTCTTGAATGGACTATGTCAACCAGTGGATTCTGTAGCAATTTCTACGTTCTTGGAATAGCAAGATTGGCAGCAATTCGTAACTGTTGAACTGCCAAAGCCACTTGAGCAAGACTCTCGGAGCATGCCCTACATCAAGGACCTGGGATAGGTGGGAGACTGGGTGGGGCTTCTCCCTTTATCTCTCCCTTTACCCCAGATATAGAAAAAAAATGTGTGTGGAAATGATAGTTTACCCACTTTCCTGTAGCCCTTGAACTTTTTAATCCTAATTAACTAGGTAAAGATTGTAAAAAACATAATTTAAAAAATGAAAAAAATGAAAGCAGGAAAAAAAGAACCTTCTTGAAGAAAATAATGCTACTGCATGATCAATGAATCATTGAAGAATATAATCAGAAATGTTTTGAAGAGATGGAACGAACACAAAAAGACCAAAATTCATGAGATATAGTTTCCGTTGATCTTTGTTGGTGAAAGGTGTCTCTTGTAGGCAACAATTAGAGGGGTTTTGTTTTTTACTCAGTCTATTAGTCTATGACATTTGGTTGATGAGTTTAAGCCATTTACGTTCAGGTTAATATGAATGGGTGGTAATTAGGTCCTGGCATTTTAGCACTGGGTTGTTCATTGTTTTGGCCTTCTGTTGCTATTTTGCAGGGATGTTCTTCACATTTGCCTTTGGTTTTGAGGAGTGTTATTCCTTTTCTCTGTCAAGAAAGCATCTTAATTCATGGGCAGATTTGGAATAGGCATATTCGTTTAACTTATCTTTACTTTGGAAGAATTTTATTTCATTTTTAAAGACAAAAGATAGTTTTACTGGGTATGTGATCATGGGCCAACAACTTTTTTGTTTTAGAATCTGGAATATGTCGCTCCATTCTCTTCTGGCCTGAGGAGTTTTCTGTGAGAAATCTCCTGTGAGTTTAATTGGCATTCCTATATATGCCAAGATGACAGAATTGATAAGAACACATTTAAACAGAAGGAGAAACATTAGCCAATGTGAAGCAGAGAGGGCATATTATGGGAAAAAGGAGAGGACAGAACCAGCATGAGGGTAGCTGGAGAGTGAGAGACACAGGAAAGCAACAGAACAATGATGTGGTATTGCAGTGAGGGATAACCAGGCTGAATTCAGCAAGAAATGATTTAAAATTGGAGCAGCTGGGACAAGAACCTGCATCCATAAGGGATGCTGTACTTGGAGGTGGAGGAATAGCTAGTTGAAGCTTTGCATCAGTACCCCTCTCAGACATCTTGGAACAGAGATTACACAATCAATGAAGACATTTGCTGAGACCACTCTACATTGTTATTCTCATTCAGTCACCTTTTTTTTTTTTACAGCACAATGTCTATGAGATTCATTCATACTGATGTGACAGATTATTCATCTTATTAGAAAGATTAATTCCACTGAATACACAGAGTGAATTGTATACTCATTCATTGGTTAGAGATTGATTTCTTTTTATTGGAAAGGCTGATCTACAAAGAAAAGGTGAGTCTGAGAGAAAAATCTTCCACTGTTGGTTCACTCTCCAAGTGACCTCAGTGGCTGCAACTGAGGTGATCCAAAGCCAGGAGTGAGGAACTTGTTCCAGGCTCCCACGTAGCTGCACAATTCCATCCAATATTGCTTTCCCTGGCCACAAACAGGAAGTTAGATGGAAAACGCAGCATCAGGACACAAAGCAGCACCAATATGGGACGTGCACAAAGGTGCAGATTTAGACCACGGGCCTTCAGTCAGGGTCCTATCCGTTCATATTAAAGTTGGATGTTTATCCTCTACATCACAAAAGTAGCTCAAAGAGACTGCGACTGAAAAACATTGATCTTACTGACAGCATAGGTTTAACAAGAGAGGAAAAACACGTTGTGTGGCTTATTTTCAACTTGTAACATTTGTTTACTCTTACTTTCCATTTATCACTATCCAATCATTCCAGTTCTATAAGCACAAACTCTCCTCAAGAATTCGTATAAGAAAAAAAGCTTGTCATCAATTTCACCAGTATGTGAAAGGTCCTTCTCACAATTATTTGACTCAGTGTTTCCATATTTCCCCAGTTTTGAGCCTCTTCCCTAACACCTCTGGCCTCAAGGTCCCTACTTCACTGTTCATAAAGTCCTCCTGATGTCAGTGCCCCATGATTATTATGTAATACAGTGACAATTCTCCATCACCACTCAGGCTGTCCCTCACTCTGCTCTGCTCTGCTCACAACAGTCCTGCTGGGAAAGGTGATGCTTTAGGGATAGTCTTTTCCACCTGCCACGTGACTGTGTTGGATTTGGTCACTGGCTGCCTCACTCATGGAGCCTGCCTGCACTCAGGTCCCCATAAAAGGTGCTCTCTGGTTACCTGTACTCTGGGCATTCCTGTTCCCCGCCAGCTGCTCCCACACACCCCCAGGATGGCGCTTTGCTTCTTCTGAAATTGTGATCCCAAGGAAGGTGACCCAAAGGACAAATACATTTGAGAAACCAGACCAACTCTCCTACAGCATGCGCTTCCAGGGAAGAAGACATGTGCTCCACATGAAGCTCAAGAGGAACTTGGTGCCCAGAAATTTTCCCATTGTTACTGATGATGACCAGGGTGCCATGCAGGAAGACTACCCATTTGTCCCCCGAGACTGTTACTACTACAGCTACCTGGAAGAGGTTCCTGGGTCCATGGCCACACTGGACACCTGCCATGGAGGTCTGCGTGGCATGCTGCAGATAGATGATGTCACCTATGAAATCAAACCGCTGGAAGCTTCTTCAACATTTGAGCATCTGGTTTCCCTACTTGTGTCAGAAGAAAGAGAAGAGGAGGATAAACATTGTAAGATTAAATCAGAGGAAATCAGTCAAGCCTTTGAAGAGGAGCTTCCTGCAGCAACTCCTAGAGCAGGTCCTGCTTATTTGTGGCAGATACATTATAAGATCTTAAGACTGCACTACACGGTTTCTGAATCTTTGGTTTCTCAGGATGAAAATGATTCCCGAATAATAGAGAATGTAATTTTCATGAATAATATTGTACATTCCATCTATAGGCCAACCTCACTGAATTGTGCCATACGCGTTATGTGCATATGGCATGAAGATACAGTGGACTTATATAATAGACGCTCCGCGCAAAATGCTGTAACAGATTTTGGCCTGTGGAAATTGTATAGCTTGTTTAGCGACGCTCCACATTCGACTTCATTACTTTACACAGGACACCGCATTGCAGGCGCTAATTATTATGCAAGCCATAATGGAATATGCAATGCTAACTGGGGAGCTGCATTTGTATTTGTAGCACACTACCACATATTTGTGGCTGCGAGTATTTCAGCACATGCATTAGGTCACAACATTGGAATGGGGCATGATGGAGATGAATGCCGCTGTTTCCGTAGAACTAGCTGTGTTATGTGTCAAACACCTGGTCTTCAGGATATAATGAGCAACTGCTCCTATCAGCACATATACAGACGTATTGTTTTCTGGGATCCTTGCTTGAGTGAACCAAATGTCCCATATGCTAATTTTCCATATATAGCACCTCGTTGTGGAGACAGGGTAAAAAATGTAAAGGAAGAATGTGACTGTGGCTCCCTGAAGGACTGTGCCTCAAATAAGTGTTGTGAAACTAACTGTGCTCTCAAAATTGGCACTGACTGTGACCATACTCCTTGCTGCAATCAGGACTGCAAATTTTCAGCTCCGGGAGTGATTTGCAGAGACATCCATGGTATTTGTGACCTGCCAGAATATTGTGATGGGAAAAAAGAAGAGTGCCCACATGATGTTTACATCCAGGATGGAACCCCATGTTCACCTGTAGCCGTCTGTATCAGAGGAAACTGCAGTGACCGCAATATGCAGTGCCAGGCCCTTTTTGGATATGAAATAGGTGATGCCTCACAAGCATGCTATGACCAACTGAATATCATAGGTGATCGATTTGGAAACTGTGGGGTTAAGTTGCAAAGAGGAGGATCCAAACCTTTTAAATGTGAAGAAGATGATGTTTTATGTGGAATGCTGCACTGTGGTGGAGTCAAGGAAATACCTGGTGGAGGGAGACACACTACATTTAGACGCTTATTAGTTCAAGATGTTAAGCAAGAAGAATGCTTTGGATATGATGCACATCAGGGGGCAGAAGTGCCAGAAATGGGGCTTGTAGTTGATGGGGCAACATGTGGTCCTGCTAAATATTGTCTAAACCAGAACTGTACTTTTCATGAGGACATGCACTTTGACTGTGATGTGAAGAAATGCAATTTCAAAGGAGTGTGTAACAGCAACAAAAACTGTCATTGCATGCCTGGGTGGAAACCACCGACATGTGCTGAAAAAGGTTCAGGTGGTAGTATAGACAGTGGCCCTACACCTGACAGAGATCCAGGCCTGCAATCCACAATTGTTATGAATATCCGAATGGAATTGCTTTTAGCATTAATTCGTGTATCATTAATTGGAGCCTGCATACTCATTGGTGCCCTTACAACAGCAAAAAGGCACATAGAGAAAAAAATAATGCAAGATGAATATGAAAGTGATGACTCTTTGTAAATATCACTGGGAGTCCTCACATGCAGTCATTCTACACTGACAATCCTCATGTCCTCTGGCCATTCTGAGGGATTAATCTTGAAATAAACTCACATCTTAATAAAGACAGTAAACACTGTTACTTGCAACATATTTTATGATGTAGTCATGTTTTTTCACTTTTGCAGGTGAGCCAGAAAAATCTCAGATTCAATAATACCAACTGGGCTTACTAAAAATTCATGTTTAAGATATTCTATCAGCACCTGTAGCAAATCTGTCTGCTTTAGCACAGACTCGGTTTAACACACTAGACAGACTCTAACAAAAGCTTTTCAAATAGTCATTCATTCATTCTCTCTTTCATTGCTACTGTTGAACAACAAGCATAAGCAACATTTGTTTGTGACACAGGATGAAGAAAGTTCTTGACATAGGCAGGTTAAATTTCAATATAGGCTCTTCCAACATCTTTCCGTGTCCCTAAAATCTTACTTTTAAAGTTTAGAGGATCACATTATAGTTGGGAACCAGGGGAGAATGCCTTCACCATAGTTATAAGATGGTCAAAAGAAAGCAAGAAAGGCCTAGAACTTTAGGGATTGCATCTTCGCATGCTGATACCAGCTTCATTATTATTCATTGCTATTCCTCCGTTGTGTTAAGCCTACGGTATTTCCAGCATCAGTTTTCCCACTTATCTTTATTGTAAAATGATCATACAAAGGAGCCATTGATTACCAATCAATTGTTTCATAGGGCCTCTGTACATTGATGTTATAAGATCTCATGCTTAAAATCTCAGGACTTACCAAAAGATTGCTTGACCATACTCATGGAAGGAATTAGCTAACTTCGGTACATGTCTAAACAGAAAAATTTATCTGATGTTGGCTGAAATACATTCACTTGGAATAAAAAATAGAACAGGGTATGATAAGCAGTAAGGATGACAATCCTCTTGTTTCAACAGCTTGGTTTTGGTCCATCTGAAAGCAACCAGTGTACACGAGGTGGGAGAAGGATGCAGAAGCTGAGAATCAACAGGTGTGCCAACCACGACTCGGGTTTGTACACCTTTTGTAGAGCTCTGTTGGCCAGCACTTGTAGTGCAAGTGGCTCATCTAGTGGGGAAACCAGGATGCTCATGGCCTGATAGATCTGAGTCCCTGTTTACTGAGCCTTCCAAAAGGCTCGTTTGCTGCTTCTGTGTCTGATGGCAAAATTGGTTAAGTCAAGGCTGGTTGATCGCTTAATAAACAGGGCTATTTCTTTGCCATAGAAATGCTACTACTGAAATAAGGACATGCTCTTCGAGCGATCCTGACAATCTCTTAATACAAGGTCATATGCACAGAGCAGAGGGGGACCCCAGAGTGGAGCAGGTAGACATGAGAAGGCTTGTATCCCAACCCTGCAGACTCCTGGATCCTTACCAAGGACTATCAGTATGGGCACCAAGGACTACATCCCAACTGCCAAGGACACCTGGGGGGAATTGGAGTGCCTTCGGAGGCTGAGATCTCTTAGACCATCCACCCCCATTTGGATCTACCACATGGGATGGAATGAGCCCAAGTCCTTCCTCACAGGATCCAAGGTTTTCAGAACAACAGCCAGGAGCCCTGAGTGGTCTGCAGAAACAGAACAGTAAACTTCCTTTGAGACTAGGGAGAGGAGCTTTCTCTTATTTCCAACTTAGGATCCCCACCCTCTCCTGTAATGATCATCAGGGTCGCTTCAGAGCCTACCCCTCTAAAAAAAAAAAACAACAACAACTAAAATAGAACAGACAGAGAACAACAAGGAAAGCTTAGAACCAAACAGGAAACAGTCAGTGTGGACTCACACATACCTAACTAGGTAGGACGCAAAGATTAGTTACTCTTCACTAAGGTACTGAAGATTTCTCTGCACACCCCTCCTAAAACTGTTCTGCACCTCAACTGTTGACATATGCCTTGTTAGAGTTATAAGCCAGTTTAGACTATCCTAAAATCTGCCAAGTTCAGCAAAGTTATGCTTCAACATTATAAACTGCTAAATACTAAAATGAAAATAGACATGAGACAGCTGAATAGTACCCTATAACCTTTTTAAAGTGTATGGAACCTGGTTGTATATAAACTAAAATTGAAATGTCAATGAAGTAGTCACAGGATGTGGTTAAGAACTTGCATTTTTAACATATTGGTTACCCAAAACATGTCAAATAATTCTATAATGTTGTAAATTGTTGTTGATGTTATGTTGTGGCTTTTAATTGATCAGGATGATATTCTGCCAGCTCTGCCTTCAGACAAGAGATTGGTCTCCCCAAGAAACCGTTGAATTTATCTGGACAATAAGATGCTGGACTCTATGCTTGGTATATGCTTGCAATGAAAGAATCTTGACTGAATTTGAACTGTAATACTGCAACAAGTTGGAGGAATCCACCATGGGAGGAGGGCACGGGGAGGGGCTGGGGGAATCCCAGAGCCTATGAAACTGTGTCATATAATGCAATGTAATTAATAAAAAAAATAACAACAGAAAAAAAAGAGAAGATGTTCTTCGATGGGGACAGACATTTTGGGTCTATTTTTTTTTTTTTTGTAAGCTGCTTGCCAAAGCATTGGTAACTGTGGGCCAATAGCCTTTCTTTCCTTCCTTCCTCTTTTCAGACATTATTTATGAGATTCCAAGATAGCTGAATCAGGAATAGACTTGTGGATTCCTACCAGGGAATGCTGGTGGAGGAGAAGCAGAGGAAGAGCATTCCCAAGGGACAGTCCAAGTGAAACCTGCAAGGGAAACACTACGGATAGTGGAGAGACACAGTAGAGAAGCGTGGGAACATAGCAGTTACCAGAGGCCAGCAAATGCCACCGGCAACTCCCCCAACCCAGGGCTGGAGAAGACTGTGGTTTGCTGAGTGCATGGGGGCAGGCTGTTGTGGGCTTGGTCACTGGTGAGACTTTTTTTTTCCACCTAGAATCTTGCAGACAACAGACTTTAGGCTGGACTGATGCTAGAGCTGGGATGGGGTGCTGCCAGAACATCATAGAAGAGGATCACAGGCCTTTCCTCCATGCCCAGAGCCAGGTGCACAGACCAGGGAGGAGTCAGTGCCATCTCAAAGTCAGGGTAGTGCTCAGCAGCTTTTCACATGCATGCTGCCAATGTGTTTTAAAAGAGGAACCCATCTGTGCTGCCCACAACACCTTAACACAGTGGCCACAGAACCTTAATACATGTGCTGTTCTACATGACATGGTACACGTGCTTGAACATAGCAGGTTCTGCTCCAGAACCTTAGAAGTCAATTCACTTGCCTCTGCACTCCAGACCATCCTACCCGCACTCTTCCCCTGTGGGCAATGAGATTATCCCACCCACCACAGCAGTATGCCAGAGCTGCCTGGATTTTAGGGACTTGATTGGTACACACACACACACACACACACACACACACACACACACCCCTCAACAAGGAAGAGGGACAGGGAGAGGGAGAGAGAGCTGAATCAGCAGGTTGTCTTCCCCAGTATGCTTTGCGCTTACTGAATACCCTAGTTTTGCCCTGCCACAGCCTGAGACAGTAGGAATATCTGCTTTCACACACACACACACACAGCACCTGAAATGTGGCTGGTTGTGAACTGATGAGTTCAGCATAAAAGATGGACTTAGGGCAATGACCATTTGTTCCTCTTTGGTTGCTAACAGGGGCAGGCTGAGCCAGGCTAGAAGATGAAATTTACCAACACACACTTGAGCTGGGAGCAGTCAGGACCAGGCTTCAGCACCCAGCAGCAGGCATGAGAACTTAGTTCAGGGGCGGGATGGGTCGGGCTGAGCACATGCAAAGGTCACCATATCAGGCTGGACTACAGCATTTGCTGGTACATGTGAGATGTGAGGCTGGAAGCAGGTGTGGAAGCAGAACTTTGGGAACTCTCCTGCTATTCTGAAGCTTCTGTTAATGAGCATGAGAGTGAAATGGGAGAGGACTAGGCCAGGCAAGAGTACAGCACCAGTGTCCATGCAAGTGTTCCTGGTCTGACAGCATGCCAGCTGGCAGCACCTACTGGCATGTGAGGAAGATGGTCAACAGACTCCAGGCTTTGCAGTGCTGAACTAGGCTGCAGTACTGGTTGGTTGACATGAGACACGGTGCTGGGGGCAGGAAACTCTGAGCTAACAAGTGCCAATACCTGCTAATAAGTGTTGAATTAGGGATGGGTCACAACAGGTTGTGTTGTAGCACCCACCAGCATGAGCAAGACCTAATGTTGGAAGAGGGCCTTGTGGAAGAGCTTGGAGTAGTCCCCTGCTAAGCAGTTGCTCCCACTGGTGAATGTGAGAGATGGAGTGAAGGGCGGCTGGTCTGTCCAGGGTGGTAGCACCCTGTGGTGCACACAGGAGCCAAAGCGGGTGCTGGAAAGAACAAGTCAGACCACAATGCCTGCTGCTTCATGAGAGAGCCGTGTCTGGGGTCAGGCCAAGCTGGACTAGGTAGCTGCAGTCACTGGTGATTTGGCGATTGCCAGGGCTGGAGGAGGACTACAGCACTCAGAGGCACACACAAGATCTGGGGCTAGGAGTGGGCTTGGAAGGGAAACCCTGGGCACCCTCTGCTAGGCTACATCTCCCACTGGTGAGCACAAAAGTCAGGGCTGGGAGCAAGCCAGGTTGGACAAGGTGCAGCACCCACTGGCATGAATGTGAGCCAGGACTAGAGGCAAGCTATGCCCCAGCTATGCCCCAGCATCCATGGGTGGATGCAAGATCCTGAAAGGATGTGGGCCAGGCTAGGTTAGGCCACAGTACCTGCTGGTATGCGCAAAAACCAGGGCTGAGTTGGACCTGGTGGGGCTTATTAGTGGTCATCCCAAACAAGCCAAAGCACCTGTCAGTGTGGATGAGAGCAGCCCTGTTCCAGGCTGGGCTTGGCTAGGCTGCAGCAAATAAAGCTTTGCGTGAGAGATGGGAACGGGGCAAAACTGACCAGAGAGCTGCATCCACTGGTGTGTGCATTGGCTGGTGTGGGTGAACGACTGAACCTGACATTGCAGCAGCTGGTGCTCACAACAGTCAAGTATGAGGATTTGATAGGAGAGGTTTGGTGGAAGACTCCGGCCTTAGGAAAAAATCACAAG